AATAGGAATTGCTTGTACCCTGAGTTTTTCTGCATTCTTTACTCTTTTTGATGGCGTAATTATGGGTTATGACATAAGGTATCCATTTTTCACATCCAGACTTTAACTCTATGATAGCAGGGAGCATTAGACTGTATATTTCTGCTATTATAAACATGTATAGAAATTGGACAAGGTTAATAACTGTTAGAAACTAGTTTTATAACAATAATGCTGATATTCTTCATGAGAGTTCTAACCCAAAATTACAGGTTAAGTTTGCCTATTGTGAGGTCCATAAACACACGAATCTGAGACATGTGTTTATTTCTTTGATATCTCGTGGCTTTGTTTGCCCACTTGCCACATTTTGTAACTTTTGCATCACTGGAAACACGGTAAATACGCGTGGGTTGCGGACGAACCCAGTAGCCTATCCAATGCGTTTTGACGCACACAACCGGCGTCGGGGATAAGGTTACACTGCCGTTAAATTAGCACCAAGCGCCCGCTACAACAAATTACAAGCCCTGGAAAGCGAAACACAACTTTAAAACTAAGGGAGAGGACCTCAAATTACTCCATTGAACTGCTTGGAATGCGTAATAAACCGTTTACCCTTCTGATTAACATCACCACTGACCAAAGCTAACCAATTACAATTCATCACCAAAGTAATGACATTAACTTTACCAACTTACTTTACAAGCACCGAGTGGGACCTCTCCTCTTCGCTGTTTTCATTGTATCTGCTCCTTTAAAAATACAGCCACGTGTTTCTCTCCGTTTCAGGCGATATTTTGTAAAAAGGCAACGATAATAGTAGGGTTTTGTCCCCAATAGCTTTTGTTATGATAATCCTAGAAGACCATAGACTCCGCGATGTTCTCCAGATATGTAAATGCTGTGAGTGAATGAGTGCTCGCTTCGCTTCTGGTTAAAACTCCTCCAATGGCGACTTGGTAATGTCCAGTTTCATTCAAAAAGTGCGCAAGTTTAAACACATAGTCCACTGCTTCTCTCTATTTAGTTTGTCTTTATAACTATAATGCTACAGCCTCCTCCGCGCACTCACAGCTGGTGCGCAGTCATCTCTAACCAGGGCGCAGGGAAATTCTGGGTTGTCAGAGGGGAGAAGGGAGAAGAGGGAGGAGGAGGAGCAAAAGGTGGCGGAGATCCTGAGTCAGAGCGGTGCCGAGGGGGGGTATAAACGCGAGAGAAAGACCCGGGATCCAAGCAGCAGTCTCTGGGGAGAGCTGGTAACGAGTCACGCGTCTGTCACTTAACAATAGACCAGGAAGAATATAACTGAATTGTGATCGATAATATTGATTTATTGGCAGAAGTGAAAGCATTAGGGTCGCTGGAAAATGTGACCATGACTTTAATAAATTATTGTTGTTTAAAGGTTTATTTTAAATGGTATAAGATGGATTATTGGCACTGTCTGTTGGAGCTAATGAGATATTTACACCTCAGTTTTTACAATTTGAGCCACAATATATTACCCAAATCTTCATAGCACATTGTATGGCAAGAATGTTTTATAAGGGCTAACTCCTGAATAAAAGGTAATTAAAGGTCCTATATTACACAAAATTGTGAGCTTTAAATGATGCTAGAAGGTTATCTCATCAAAACCATTCCTAGAGTTGTGGTTTATTCACACATGTTTGCGTAATCCTGCATTATTAATCTGTCTACATCTCACAAGTTCAAAATGCTCCACCTCCTGATGTCATGAAGCTGAAGTTTTCAAGTTAGCAGCTACCTTTGACTTCTTCTTTAGCAGAGATTGTCAATTTGATGGCTGAGATTATACAAATGATTCCAATGAAGATGTATGGAATTTAAAAACACAGTGATGCATTTCCTATTTTACCACATGACATCACAAGGTGGAACATAAAGTTTTCAGTTAGAGAGAAGAACTCAGCCTAAATATGTAACTGTGTGTTCAATATGTGTGAATGAAACAAAAACACAACTCCATGTGTATTTATGATGAGAAAAGATCATAACATAGATTATAAAATAGAATATGAGCCCTTTAAAATAGTTCAACAATCAAATAGAGTTAAAATGTACTCTAAAAATGTAATATGAAGCCAGTCATTCAAAGGCAAAATTATAAGTTCCAATATTGTTTAAATATATGTATTATTTATTGGTTCCCAGAAAAAAAATTCAATTAAATTAAAACTGTACAGGCGGCATTCATTTGTGGAGTTTTTCCTCACCCCACATTTATGACTGTGTTAAAGATTAAAGGTACTGTGTTGTTTGAAGGCTACAATTATACATTAAAGAGCTTATATTGTTCCCTAGAGCCACATTCACCTCACTCATAAATCCTCTAGTGTACGTCCCATTTAATTGGCTTTGACTTGCAATACGCCTAGAAAATGATTTAAAAGGAACATATAGTAACCTATGTACAATCTATAGTGGTATAGAACAAATAGAAGTGATCACATCTTAACTCTGGGCTAACTTTGCAACTTGTTGACAAACATAATCCTTGGTTATTGCTTCAGTTACAAAATCATTTCATTTATTTCACCATCTGAGAAAGTGAATCTTTAGAATTAGCTTTGTTTCTACATGTGTTTAGTTGGAATTCCCCATTGCACCTCCATGACTACAAAAGATTAACACTAAATGCTTGTAAAACACAGTTGTAACCTTTAACAATTCAAATCTGTAGCATTGCATGGCTGACTATAAATTGCCTGTGCTGACAAGTCAAGCCATCAGTACCATATATTTTTAGATGGATAGAGGAGGTAGCATAACATATAGGCCTGCATACATACTTAGTCACATAAGCAGGTAATGTCAAGTATTACTCATATGGGTGTTACCAAGTCTAGATTACTTCCTGTTCTAAAATCACATTCACTCTACAAAAGTGTAAACAAACTGCATCTTTCACAACCTCTTGAGCTCATCCCAAACCGCGGTATAACTTTTCCTGACAGTGAACTCTGTTTTACCCTCTCATTCATTCTTCTTCCACTTGAAACCCTCCGCGGGGCTAAAGTTGGACCCGTCTGGGGTAGAGAGGGCAGTAAAAATAGCCCCAACTCAGGTTACCTATAGGCCAGGACCTGGTCTGAATACCGAACGATAGACAAGGCAACACACAAGCCCAACAGTGCATGCACGTCACAGTGAAGTTTGATGGAGGTCTATTCTTCTAGCTACGAAATATAAACCCAGATCTTTGTTAGGAGAGCCCAAAGTAAGTAGTTAGGTTTACTTAGGCTAGTGAAATTACTCATTAAAGGACATATATATGCAATATTAAATGCTATAATGTTCCCTCATCAAGTTGCAGTTTTGTGTGAGTGATTCATGTATGTTTGAGCAGTTCTATGGTTCTGCATTTGAAACTTAAGTGCTCAGAAATGTTGCGTTTTCACCTAACCCCTATCGCTACCTGTACTAAGTTGTGATTATCTGAAGCCAAAAAATGTTAAATAAAGATCTACATATGTCATAGTTCAATCCTAAAAAAAGAAAAAATGTTTTCTTCATGGAAAATTATAGATAGATGCGAGTAGCGCTTTTGGACACTCAAAGATGCTTTAGAAACAATAGAAAACAGTGATGGAAATAGGTGAGGCAGACTGATAAACATTCACCTCACACTCTGTTTCATGGGTAAACTCAACACAGCACATGTTATTTTGAACAGTAAATAAATGATTGAGCACAAACAAGTACATGGAAAATCTAACAAAAAGACCAACTGCCCAATCTCTACTACACGTAGATTTGGGGTTTTTTTTTATGCATTTCTAACATAAATACATTCAGTAGCATTCTCTCCACGGCCTGTGCTCTGAACGCCTGTGGATCTGAACAGGGTAAAAATCAATTCTGTTCTTGCTTTTCCTTCAGTATCTACAGTGGTGCTCATGCCTGAACATGGCAAATGCACAGAGTTAACTCATTAACACAGAGACCCTAAACGGTTCTTCTATCGATCCTTGGTTAAAAGCTCAGACTGTGCATTTTAAGCAACAGACCTTCTGGCTCATTTCCATTAAGTCGGCAAAAATGTATTGCGCTGATCTGTAGTTTACTGTAAGGAAGTGCAGTGAAGGCACAAAACAGTGAGATCATGAAAGAAGAAACATATCCACACAGATAAAACATGAATGTCACACCAGTGCCATTCAGAATAAAATATATTTCAGTTTTCTGAAAGCAACACACCCTAATTATTTACAATAAGGAGTCCATTGAATTACCCTAAAATGTGAACTCTTATATTTTAAGCAGTAAGTTACTAGCCTGATTTATCAGCCGGTTTCACTTCGTAGAAACCATCTGACCTTGCAGTGTTAGAATTTGTTTGCTCGACAGTAGGCGGGTACTTTTTCATCATTGCTATTTGGATGTGACGTATGTAATGCGCCGCTAACGGGGCTAACTGGTATATTAAGCTTTTCCCAAATCCTGTAGGAAGAAGGGCAATAACGTATTTCCCCTTGATAAAATTCACCAAACATTCTCTTTATTCCAGCTTTAAATCCTCAATCTCGGAAATCATTGCTAACACAGAATATATGGCTCTTCACTGATTGGCTGTTGCTCAAAATCGCACTTCCAGGGTTTTTGCAAACTGTCTAGTGTATTCTGAATCCTGACCTAGTCGCTGGAGAGAAATTAAATTGAGTGGAGGCACTAGTGGTACAAAGTGAACTAAGAGAGTGTGACATCAATCATAGCATTTGCTTCCAGTCAAATATAGCTTATATTAGGAATAGGGATTAATTTACAGACAAAATAGTGAAATACAAACAGCAGGATCAGGTAGAGTGGGTTAATATGATCATTTTACTACCAAAATGATGAGGCTCACTACAGCAGTTACAGAGAGATTTTCAATTCAGCTGGAAGTGCCCCCATGCTCACTTCCTATTTCGAACACAGCGGCTGGCGGGTTAGCTATGTCCATTTATATATACAGAATAAGACTATAAGATTTCTCACACAGTATTTGTTCTTACCTTGAGAGAGGCGTACGGGCTGTTTGACCTGCAGCCCATCCATAGAGCAGAGGTTGCCACAGGGATGCAGTGTGATCACCCCAGACCTGTTCTCAATGAAGCAGTGTTGCGCTGCCACCCCAGGGCCCTGGATGGCAATGTCCATCGGACCATGGCCTAGCGTAGTTCGACCTGGAAGAAGATAGAAAAAAAAAATCACTATATAATAAATAAATACAATAATGTCTTAGTCTTTAACTTTTGTCTATACCTTCAGGCAGTGGCAGCAGAGTGATAGCTGTGCTCAGGCGTCCACTTCCCAGACTGACCAGATGGGGGCGCTCTGCTTGGAACTTCAACCCCTTCCCTGTGTCAATCAGGTCCAAAGGAGTGCTCTGGAATGTAGAAAAAAGTCCATTAGAATTGATTCATTCTATATGATACTTAAACTATTCAAACCATGTATGACGTCTGACAGCCCGTGTAACATACAGCATGTAATCTGATCGAGTGGACACACTATCTGCCCAAACAGGTCACTTCCTCTGTCTGCACTCACACAACTGTCTGAGCTATAATTAGCTCCAAGTGATGAGACCTAATCTGCAATAATTTCCTGTCCATTAGCTAATCATTGCTGAAGGGACACTGGTCGATAGAAGTTTGACAACAGAAAATTAGATACGAGATTGGACAGCGGGGGTATTTGTGGGTTCTTTGTTGAAATACACACTCTTTTCATCTCAGTCTTATTGGCAATATGACAAAATGGATAAGGAAATTAGAAAAGTGCCCACCCGTTTCCTGTATTACCAATTTGCACCACTAGGGGGAGGTTTCTATACCTCTGCTGCGCTTGCCCATGCAGTTTCTCACCAAACAGAATTTTGGGCCTTGAAAAACAGGGGTTCTTGTTGCTACGTGAGCATGCTTTTCGCCATTCTCTTACCTTTAAAAACTATAAGCTCCTCAAAGCTCTTTAGGGTACTAAACAACAAAGAGCAACGCACCTAAACTAAAATGTTTATATTTAATGACATTTTCAAGTTTTTCTCTGTGTTTCTCCTGAATATGTCTGACACAGTGAGGACTAGATCCGGTGAAACATTATACACATTCTGACAGACCTGATACCTCTCCCTGCAAGGCATGATTCAAACTACATTAGTAACTAACTCCTTAATCGTCTTTTTGCCACACATCCTTGTAGACGTTATATGAAAACTTGTACAGGCTGCTGCTCTTGTTGGATACCTCTGTTTACGTTAATGGGATTAAGAGGCCGAGGGGCAGTGGCTGGAGAGGGTCGGCCCTATAAGAGGATTGGTGCGAGTGGGAAAGAGCAGGAGAGGCAGAGATACTGAGACAAGACACACTTTATTTGAGCTGACTGGCTGTGTGCTGCTGCTCCCATGTGGTAAACAAAGCAAAGTTTAATAGAAAGCATCTGTCACAACTCCAATACCCAATATCCAAACAATGAACTAAGGAACTTGTTTTTGGACAAATTTTCTTCTCCATGTTTCAACTTTGATATAGATTTTAAATTAAATATATTTAAATTTGAGCGTCTCCATATGGGAGTGAAAAGCACATATAAAAAGGTCTTGTCTATAGAAGATACTGAGATGACGGAGGTGAGCTCTGAGCAGCACGTGTGAAAACGTTGGCCGATTACTGACTCTGAACCAAGAACAACAGTGACATATGTTAAAGGACTGAGCAGATGTACGACCAACCTGACCTGCTCACTATTCTGTCATAGAAAGACATGTGGCCGTACCTGCTTTTAAATGCTTTATCTTGAAAGATATTAAGCAGGTAAGCAAGGCTGGGCCAGGTCAGTATTTGGATGAGAGACCACTGGGAATACCAGGAGCCATACTGGGGCAGTAGTGGTTCTAGTGGAAACTGTCATTGTGTCCATAGGCAAGACACTTCACTCACATTGTCTAATATGGATATGGTGTGTGTGTGAGTTTTGATGGTGGTCAGAGGGGCTGATGAAGCTGATGGCGCAGATTAACAGCCTCACTCCTGACAGTCTGCCCCAGGGCAGCTATGCCAACTCACTCTATACAAGTATTCATTCAAACAATCAACAATTTTCATGACTGTGTAAGACTCCACTCAGAGTAGTACATGTACAAAACTTAAAGAGCCCATACTAGCCTATTTTCTGAACTTTGTTATGACGCTGTTTCCTCATCACACACATACAGAGTTGTGTTTTGTTTCATTCACACATGTTTAACACACAAACCCTGGATATTTAAACAGATTTCTTCTCTGAAACTAAAAATGCTCTGTTCCACCCTGTAATGTCATGTTGTAGTACAGGAAGTGCTCCACTTTGTTTTAAAACTCCATACACCTTCACTAGAATCGTTTTGATAATTTCAGACCTGGAATTGACGATTTCTACAGAACAAAATGAATGAACAAATGTTAAAATTAGCTGTTAACAGCTTCATGAGATCACAAGGTGGAATAGAGCATTTTGAGCTTTGGAGATATATAGACAGACTAATGATAAATGGTTACTAAGACATGTGTGAATGAAAGAAAACACAACTTTAGGTGTATTTTTGAGAAGGTAACAACATTATAACATGGCTTAAAGCTCACAAAAGGCAGTTATGCAGTAATGTAGGACCTTAAATTATATCATTAGACAAATACATTCCATAAAGGTCTTTTTTAACTTTACTATCTTTTGTTATGTAAACCCCTTAAGTCTGTCATCTGGCAAACATTAAACTTTATGTTTCAAAACACTCCTTAAAGAGAGATGGAGATGAGTGCCAATTTAGGTTTAATTAAATGACCAAGTGTCTCAGACTTTTCCCCATGTCTTTCTCCCTTTAGCCCCCCACAGTCCATTAGAATCCTGTGTCTCTTACCTGGAGGTTCTGGTGTTGGGTACGTCCATATTCGGGCATGTTCCTGTTCAGTCGGTCCATGTCCACAGAGCTGTCCCTGTCTCCGGGCGACACATGAAGATCCTGCAGGAGGAAGTGACATCATCAGCTCAGAGTTTGCAACATCCAAACAGTAACGAAAAGCGATGACTTCACGTTTTTAATAACGTTACTATGTTGAAGTCACTGTAGCTTTCCATTGCTGTTTCTCATTTGGTTGAAACTGCCCCCTCCTCTGCAATTGTGTAATCAGGTGTGAATCATTTTTGTTATTTTATTTAATCAGGAAAGTCCCACTGACAATTAGAAAACAATGTAATGTTTGTGCATAATAATCCATGGAAATACAATAAAGTTATCCTGTCCTTACATGGGCATTGAAGGTCTTATATTATGCAAAATGGATTCTTGAGCGCTGTAAGTCATATTATAATTCTGTTACCTCATCAAAAACATACCCAGAGTTGTGTTTTGTTTCATTCATGCATGTTTAAGTAACCTTTTATTTTTGTTTTTATTGTGTCTGTCTACGTCTTCAAAGCTCAACATGTCATGCTCCACCTTGTGATGTCATGTAGTGGTAGTTTTCAAGTAAACAGTTACCTTTTAAATGTCAAACTAGTCACTTCCATGGCTGAAAGTATCAAAATTATTCTAGTAAATGTGCATGGAGTTTATAAACACAGATGAGCACTTCCTGTATTACAACATGACATCACAAGGTGGAACAGAGTGTTTTCTGATTGAGAGAAGAACTCAACCAAATTATGCCCGGTTTGTGTGTTCAACATGTGTGAATGAAATAAAACACAACTCCAGCTATGTTTTGATGAGGAAACAACATAGATAACATAGATCAGAAAATAGTGTAATATTGACCCTTGAAAGACTATAATAACACATATTATTTTAAAAACAAAATACACCATTTGTTTTGCCCCTCTGTCCTGTATCATGGCACTTATAGCAGCATCAATAATAGCCGTTATCAATAAAATGCTATTTGGTGATATCCTGTTTTGGCTTGCCCTATTGATTCAAAAGTGGGTTTAATATCCTTCCATTTGATCTTCTGTCTCTCACAAGTTACAGCCACAAAGAATTTTGTTCAATTATTCATTACTTATGGGCACAAACTTGCCTCTGCAGATTTACTTTTTTTTTTTTTGGTCAGGCATGCATAATAATGTACATTATAAAGAGCAAAAATACCTATGAAATTTAAACACTACTTTTTTCTGTATGTGTGTGTGATATAATTACGAGTCTGAAAGCAATCCTTATCCATTTGTCTATTTATAGTTGAAAAGTACATTACTATGCCCAAAAGCAGTATCAGTTCTAGCTATCTTGTTTCTCGGTTTCAGATTACAACATGAATAATATGTGATGGCAATATGTCACACAAGTTTTTATGCAGTCTATGGGAACAGGCCAAATGAGTATTTTAATATGCTGAACTTTGCTGTTGTTATTTAATTATCTCAAAGGCATAGTCACTAATGTAAATGATGTTTTGTCTTTTGAAATACCACCAATAAGCCCATGTATGCACACAGATGTTATTCAGAAGAAGATGATCTATTTTTGGTATATTGGTCACTTCTGACGTGGGCACTGACCACTGTCCTGTTGCCATGAATCCCCTCCTCTTTTTCACATGTAATAGGTGTGAATCATCTAACCAAGAACAGATGGTTAAGCAGCGTTTAGCAACAGTTTTCCTGCCCTCAAGACACACTCTAAATATCTTCCCCATGCAGCCAATTATGTCACTTAAAAACCTTAAAAAACACTTTAACCATGTTAAATTGGCTTAAAGGCGCACTATGTAACTTTTTGGTTGGGGGTTCATCACCTGCTTGTTTCTACGGATATGTCATTGCTCTTGCTGGAATGTTCCACAGTATGACATTAAATAGCTCTACTTTACATTTATTAAATTACAGGTGGTTTTATAGGTCAAAAATATCAGGGAAAAACATGCATTCTGACTGTGAGCGGAGTCGCCTCTCCACAGATCTGACCTGTAACTTGGTCTGATTTGATCTCTGTGAAGATAGAAAGGTTTAATACAATAATGTGAAACATTCCAGAGAACACAATGACATTTTGGTGGAGACAAGCATTTGACTGACCCTCCAGCAGAAAAGTTACACCTTCAACCACCTTCAGCTTCCATACAGTGACACACAACAACACCAAAACAAAAACTCACAGTTCTAGGAGTTCTATCTATCATAGCTTCAGAACATAAAACATTATTATAGCTGTCAGAGAGAGCATACCTGGGGTCATTTGCATGTCTAAAACGTTGATGGGAAATACATGATGTGCTCTACACTTAGGATCAACAAAACAATGCTATCTGAAGTAGTGACAAGTGTTTTGAAATACATTTCTACAGCCTGTAGCAAGCGTTTAACATTCAGAAGGAGAATAGATTAGATTGCACAGTGGAGCAAAGAATTAGATTTTTATGAACTGACATAAACAATAAAAAGGTGCATAAATGTACAAAAGTATAAAAAAAAAAAAAATGGAATGTCTTGGTTAGCATTAATCTCTACCAAGGCAATAGTTCTTTTTACTGTCTTGTGTAATATTTGCTTTGTACTGCAAGTACTTGGTGAGATAAAAAGAAATTGCTCTTGTTCTCAAAATAAGTTCTCAAAATAAGAATGAGCAAATTAACACTGATTAAAAAGACACATTTCCAACATAATATACCATTTTTAATGTCTTTCTAAATCTTAAAAAAAACAAAAAACAAAAACAAAAAAACATAAAACCATAACATTTGTATCTGGAATCTAGGTTTTACCTTGTTCCAGTTGTCCAGCCAAAACAGAGCCTCCATGGTTGATCGCTGCTGTCCTACACCAGACTGACCCAATCCTCTCAGCGTGAACCTGATTAAGTAGGACACTCACTCTAAGACCTCACAGCCAATTTGCTCACGTTTCTGCACACTGCGCCTACTTTGCATGGACGATATAGTTTGTGCCTTTGTCTCTTTGTCCAATACAAACTCCCACAGAAGAAGTCAAGGAGGAGAGGAGGTGGACCTGTCCCTGCTTGCTCCACTAAACTAAAACTTGCATTCCTGACTGGCAGCTCTAAACTAACAGATAACCCCATAGACAAATTTATGTGATTGAAGCAATGTTTGGTCTAAAAAGGAAAGCAGCACTGATAGAGATCTTTGATAATATAAGATCTTAATGCTGTGTAATGTGTTCAATGTTGTGATGTTTACAAAGGGAAGCATGAGTGAAAAGATGGCTGAAAGCAAACAGTGTATCTTTGTCTCCAGGCTGTACATGAGTGGCTTTAAGTAAAGGATTTTGAGACTTAAGACATATAAGACTGAGGTATAAACTTATAACATTCAATCTGAGACAGCCTTTTAACTATCATTGTATTTAGTGGGGTGAATACCAAATTACCCATGTTATGTTATCCTGATCCCTGGTGTTATAATGTTGTTTCCTCATCTTTACTGAACAATAAGAACTTACATATGGTTTACTTAGGTATAATTCATACGATGATATATTGCTGACTATAGGGCTGTGCAATTAATAGAATTTTAATTTAAAGACTCTGTCATTTCCAATTATCATTGACTTGCAGGGGTCAAACCTCTGTCAGTAAGAGGATGTCATTTGGGGCAAAATTCAGAGGAAGAAATCTGACTATTCTTCAATGGCAATGATTAAAAGACAATATTCTTTATATTAAGAAAACATATATTAAAAGCACCTTTTAATTGTAATAAGACTGCTGGAAAAATTCAATTTCAGAGCTGTATATAGGGAACTTACTGCCAGTTCAGTCCTTGTTATCTTGGCCTACATCATCAGAGGTATAATACTCCCTACAACAAAAGAATAGTCATACTGGATTGTACTAGACTAGAATGAACACTATCACAATGAGGATTCATGTCTCTGGGTGCTGGGCCCTGTATTGATGGTAAATAAACTTCTTCTGCATTAGACCTCAAGTTCCATGGCTCTTAACTCTCAAGATACTACTATTTACTGTAAAACAAAGACAAATCACTTTTTCTTTGGTAATTTCGCTCAGCCCCACAGTTGACCGCGATAGTCCATAAGAGATAAAACATTTTTCCATGCCATTCTACAAGTCTATGAGCCTTTCCCACAGCACAGCCCCTTCTCTCACTGCAGGGGGCTACATTTGTGTTCTTCAGATTCACACTCGCTCAATGAAGAAGAGACAAAACGCCTGCTCTGGTGTCTATGTGCCTCTCATGGATCATGGGCAGAGACAGGCCTGGTTTCACACATGAGCAGTTCTCGTTTAGAGGGTTTTGGACCCAAGTCTCAAGGAGGAACCAGACAATTCAACAGGAATGCAAAACTGAAGAAGCACAGAGAGAATAGGGAGGACGGGATAACAGGCTGTCAGTCTGATACTACACAGATAAGATAAGACCTGTGTGTGAGTGCACGGGTCTTTAAATGAGCTGCATATTCTTATTACTTGGAAGTTGTTGTTTTTTTTGTAGATATTGATTCAGTCATTTGTGTTTCATTCTTATACAGGAAATTGTACATTTTAAAAATATGTATTTGTTTAAAGTTGAATATCGATATTAGATTAGTTAGTCCTGGTACCACATGGGCCTACCTCACCCTCATGATGTATCAAACAAAATCTAAGGATTCAAACCCAAGAACTTCTCATGAGGTGGAGGTATGCCCACTGTGTTACTGTGCCTGTACACATCAGAACTCTGTGTGTTTTATAACAATTGGGTGAAGTAGAGCTGAAAGATGTTAAGGGTTTGAATTTATAAAGCATAGATTTTTTTTTATTTTTTTTTTTTTTGTGAGGAGTCTGGCATGGGTTTCTCTCCATGGCGATGTTATAGCAGGCCTTCAGTGTTCCACAGTATGACATTAATGGTACCTATCGGTGGAGACAACCAGGTGATCCCACCAGGACAAGTTATGAGTCAGATCTGTGAAACATGGTCTTCTTCTGAATGCAGTTTAATCCAGTACTGTGGGACATTCATAACATGACAAGAAGGTAGCTGACCCCAAGTTACA